CATGATTTTGACATGACATGGAMCTTATTTGAGTGCTGTAGCAGCCATGTGCTGCCCTAGTTTCGACTCGCTTTAATTTTAAACAAGAAATGGGTTTTACCCTGGCACAATTGGAGTAAAATGCTACCATAATTTGTTATACTAATAAGATCAAGATAATGTTTGACGCTTAACTTACTTCTGCAATTAACAGCGATAACTTTGGAGCCAACGTTGATGATTTTTTTACTTATATTCGGGTAAACATCACTGCTTACAAGGGAACCGTCGACGTAGAGATCGAGATAGTGGTCACAAGTTATGTTGATTTGTATCAACTCTGTTGTACCTGAAAATAAACAGCAAGGACAGTTAGCCATTGGGCTACTAGTGTGTAAGCCAATTGGACAGTTGCTGCCAAGGAACGTAGAGACGYCAGGAAGTCCCAAGATCCCTTAGCGGAAGCAACAATACCCTGCCCCCACTGCACCAGGCCATCTGCGTACGTACAAACTTCCTTAGTCCGTTTTAGGATGACATGATAAATGGAATGCACAAGATGGTGTCCGTGTCATCGACGGACAAACAAACTACAACAAACAAGTGTGTATATGAATTTGTATTGCAGAGAATGTCGGAGCAATCTTGAAAATGATTCCATTGTCCTATGTTTCTCTCTATGTTGATCTCACGATCAAAAGTAGCAGGTTTGTACTAAAACATTGACTTGACAAACACTGGATTAATTTAATCTCCACTATCTTCATGCAAGATTAACCCAACACTTGAAAATTTTGTATAATAGCTTAATGGTAGTTCCTTTCGACCCACAAAGTCACATTTCGACTCGACCATCGGTATTCGCAGTTCTCTGCGATGTTTTTTTGAAATAGGCGCCGTATAGCAGGTGAGAATTCAAAGAAAAAGCGAACGGATGGAATTTTAGGTAAAAATCACTGACAATCTCTAAAGTGCGTCAGAACAATATATAATAGGCGATTCGTTAATATATCGAYGCTCTCACAAGAACACGTCCCAAAATCCCGTCCACAAGAAGRCGGAAATATATGTATCCGCGTATTTGCGTTGTGGCGGATCGCATCCATACRCGTCGAAAACGTATTCTAGCCGTTTCGAAAACGCTCTTTACAGCGTAAAGTCTCTGAATACGCGAACATATTTTCGAGAAGGGGGGAACTTGTTTGAAATTTCCCGCCATCAAGAAAAAGAGGGGAAAAAATCTTATACTATTACCTTTTACCGTCGTTCACAATAGCGCTATAGTCGGCCAATCCAGATAAACGACTTCACTTCACGGCGTGCAATATCAACAGCTTGCTTGCAATATATTAGAGTGCCTAAGCGCCATTCATTTTGATCAAGAGCAATTTGTTTATAATCGCAAGACGTGACGCTTATCTGTCTTATTGGTAATTGAAACGACTTCTAATGAACCAAAGACACTACATATTATATAACTTATTTTTTCCGCGCTTCGGTGTTTGAAAAATAAAATAGTTGAGGGAAAGAAATACAGTTTATATGAAAAATAGAAAACGAACTAAAAAGATCCCGACGANCGTAAAGTCTCTGAATACGCGAACATATTTTCGAGAAGGGGGGAACTTGTTTGAAATTTCCCGCCATCAAGAAAAAGAGGGGAAAAAATCTTATACTATTACCTTTTACCGTCGTTCACAATAGCGCTATAGTCGGCCAATCCAGATAAACGACTTCACTTCACGCCGTGCAATATCAACAGCTTGCTTGCAATATATTACCCAAGAGTGCCTAAGCGCCATTCATTTTGATCAAGAGCAATTCGTTTATAATCGCAAGACGTGACGCATATCTGTCTTATTGGTAATTGAAACGACTTCTAATGAACCAAAGACACTACATATATATAACTTATTTTTTCCGCGCTTCGGTGTTTGAAAAATAAAATAGTTGAGGGAAAGAAATACAGTTTATATGAAAAATAGAAMACGAACTAAAAAGATCCCGACGAATAAGGATAATATTTTCCAATTCGACAACAAATTTTCTATTTTCTTATGATATAYGATTAAAATTCGTCATATTTTTCTGCTACGACGACAAAACATTGAGCTGGTCAATTAATTTAACAGAAAACAACGGAAGACATTTCCATTTTTACTGRRTTCATCATCTTGAGCAGTACCTAGACGAGATTTACCTGGTTAGGCTGGATTTACTCTTTCTTGTAGTTTATTCACTTCGCAAAACGCCGCTTTTGAGGCCGTAAGGCCAAACCGTAAACCAGCTGGTTTAATACGGATCGGTTTACGATTCGGCCTTACGGTCTCAAAGACGGCGCTTCTCTCGCCGTAGGTAAACTATAAGAAAGTGTAAATTCGTCTTCTGAAACTCAGGGTAAGACGATCAGAGGGTCTTTTACAACCTYACGCATTTTATAAAAAATGAAATTAAATGAAATTATATAAAATCAAAATAACACGCACAAATTTGCACTGTCTGCAACTGAAGAAGAAAATCCTTTGAATTACAAAAGTTCTTTATGTACACCATTACTAAATTTCACAAAATGGTAGAAATATGTTTACTATGGATCCGTGCAACTGCACAAACTATATAGTGCTATTTAGTTGTATTTAGTAAATCGTGTATGCGGTACGCAAATAATTAAATTGAATTGATACAAATGCAGCATTCAATACCGTCTTGCTTCAGGTCCACTTTTATTACAAATTAGCACTACTTAGATTTTGTTCAGTTTCACGGTTTAAGTGCGAGGCCTGGTCGGCTATTGTTAACWACACTACATATTGAACGATGCAGAGGAGTGATAAATGAGGCAAGCTGCAGGCATAATTGTAAATTTTGGATAATTGCACAAGACCAGTGTGGTCAACTCATACAATAGGAACAAAATACGGAACTTTTTTAATCGTTAAATTAGAAAATAGYTTTGAAAATGTTCAGAAGATGTTTCTCTTGAACCTTTAGCATAAGATATGGAGGTTATAGATAACATTAACAAGTTTTCGACACTTCCACTTCACGTAACTGATAACATGCAAAGTAGTSTACAAAGCGCTCCGCCGCACKTCACCTTGCTATTGRAYTCAATTCATTGACTCTGGACACAAGGACTAATTAAGAAAACATCATCATGTACAAAAAAAGGAAAAACCTAATTAAGAATCGAACTATAAAGGTTCTTTTTTCAAGTTATTTCATTAAAGTGGAACAAAAAAATACCACGATGATCAATGAAATATTTATTATATTCAGAGTTAGTCTCCTCTACTAACTCTGTTATATTTGGAGATCCGCGGCTCTCCAGGGAACACTTAAAACAGCRCCAAACAAATGTTGAACCTCTACAAAAACAAACTTAAAGTATTTTTAATTGTTCGTGCACGTACGTTCAAACTTATTACGTATAGTTCTATGGTGTTTTGCTAAGCAATCTATCTAATATCCGACCAAGTAAACATATCTTATTCTTAAATCACATAAGTTTGAGCGCTAACGACATATATATGCTTCCTGCAAAATGTTCGTTTCACTATTGGTTCTGTGTCACAGAATAAATGAATATGTGTTTTTGCGAAATGACTAGATTCGTGGATAAATGCATGTGAACTGATTTTTTTTACAAGACGATAATAAATGAGTATCGTCGCAGCGCAAAATGTCAGATAATAATTCCAAATAGCGAGTCTGCCACTTTTTGACAGTGAACTTAGAAAAATTGCTCAAATATATAAGTGTTCAGATCAGTCATAGAGATAATTATGGTTACAAAAGATTGTTTTCACCGGAACTCTTGAGTTTTATACTTATGCATTTTGATTAATAATGTCATGGAAATAACAGAGTTTAAATCTTTGACTTTTTTCAGTGTGATAAGTATTGATATTTTTTTTTCTTTAATGGAATAAAATGTTAGAAACCGAGATTTGATGTAATATCTCAGTCTCAAAGTATTTTTAATTTCAATGTTTGCTTGGCTTTCTGGACCCCATATAGAGTTGTTATAAACTACAAGTCTGACATAGTTGTCAAAAGTGAATGTTGTCGAGCGAACGATATTGGTCCATCGTCTTTCTGAAAAATTGCGACCACCACGTAACTAAATAAACCTCAATAGTTTTTCCTAACTATCCGGTCACTGCAATGATTGTTTTTCCCTTCCGCGGTTTAGTTTTGACGTCAAAAATAACAAAATTGAATGAAAAGATTAATGCTTAGGGAGGTAAAAACATTTCCAGGCAACAAAAAAATGATATTTTACTCATGCAAAAAACTCGTAATTAGCACTCAAAAACCGAATTTCTTTTTAAGAAAAAAAGGAAATGCAAACATTATTTACAAATAAAGAAAAATTACAACACATCTGCTCACCGGTTTGGCTGCATCCATCGCAAAATTCTTCTTCGAGTAGCAAGCATAGTACCAGGTAAAYTAAAGCTTTTCTTGCTGTCCAAGAAGTATTCATTTTGAAGCCATTAAACTATCTAAGCTTGATCTTTCCCATCAAAGCCCACATTATATACTTATATCAATTTCGGGAAGCGGTATGTCAAAGAGCTGCTTTTACGGCTCGCCAGATCAAACGTTCGAGAATAATTGATCGATTTCTTTGTTATAGATATGAATTGTCTACAAGTATAGATGCATTGTTTTAACCAATTGGAAAAAGATAWTCAAATCTGGAAAAAAAACTCTCCACCAATCAGATTGCTTGTTTTTGGTTTACTAAATCTATTTGTTGATTAACTTTGACTTATTTCAGGTGAGAAAATTATATTTTAAACAAAAGTAGAAAACTTCTAGCATTGCATCCAATTAGCCGCTACGTTTAATACTTTAATCTGAACAGAAGTYCTTATTTGCAAGAATCGATACTCTTATTTGCTCTGGACGCTCTTTTAAAGAATAGAATGGAAAAAAAAGATGACAAGATAACGGAGCCGAAGATTTCCTGCGGTCGGCGCTGTGTACGATCTTGATAGACTCCAGTGGCGCGGTTCGTTTGGACACTGTCACTATAATCCTTCACCAATATTCAAGCAAATAGAAGATCAGTCTTAAAATAAACAGAACTATAGACATCTCAGTAACGGGACAATATGGCAGACATGTAATAACATCAATATATAACATTTTCCAATAGGTACTGGAAATTCTGTTTGAATTTATTTATTCATTATCGGTGAATAAAGAGTCGCCGCAAATCGTGGCACGCTTTTTCTTGAGAAGTAGTTTTCCACTTCAATAAGTATTCAGTCAAAATGCACAGAATCTGACACCGTTGACTTTTCAGTTTCCAATTAAAATTCTAGTTAATTCTAGACGTTGCGTCCCCTCTTTAATCTCATAAAATTAGATTTTGCCCCCCCACTCTCGATTCTCACCCCCCTCCCCTGATAAATATCGTAGTTGTTTACATACATACACCTAAAACTACAGTAGTCGTTTACATACATACACCTAAAACTACAGTTTTGAATTCTTAAAAGCTTTGTGTTATCATTTTTTTGGTCTTTCCTCACAAATCAATGCGTTTTCTCGGGTTATCAATGACACAAAAGAATATGTTGTTTAGTTTTGAGGCTAATAGAGAAAACCCATGCAAAACTCCAAATTCGATTGGAGTATAGAAACGATGCGCGTAGTCGCGGCCAAAATAACATCATTATCATCATCATGGAAGTTAAGAGTAAAAGGGAGCATGAGAGAGGAAAAAACCGACAAAAGATTGTCTAATTAAACTGAATAAATCAATGCAAAGTCAAATTGTATTTGAATTTCTGAGTACTTTCTGAATCTCCTTKGGTGTTAGTTTTGATTATATACCTCATCTCTTGCCAAGCTGACACCGTTAGTCAATTAGTTGAATCCATGAAATTACGAAAATTAATTTTGTTTTTCAGTATAAAGTACACAAGATCACTAAAAGCAATATAAATCCAAATTCCCGTCCTTTTTACGTATACATTGACTTTCAATCTCAATACCTGATAAATAGTATTATATAATCCGTGTCATCTCAGGTACAGGGAAAAATTTTACTTTGATCAGAATTGCTACTTTTTAATAAAATAGATAGCWGTCTAAGTCTATAGTCCGATCATGACGTCAGGTTTCTTTAYTAAAAGCTCTCCAAGCTCACCGGCTCAATCTCATATTTGCCCGGACTGTTTTCTCTTGTTTTCCTTGCGTCCTAWACACGGGGCGTCCAAGCAATAACTTTAATTTTTAATTGTGARACAAGATAGAAAATTGATGTAGTTCTAATTATTGTARATTCACAGTTATTGCGTTGGCTCCCTATTGAATAGCTGGCGAAGGTGATGTGACGCAAATTATGGCTCATTTGGCCGTCTTTCTTTGATATAAAGCGCGGTTACCTTTAAAAAATGACGCAGTGATCCGTAAAAGATATACATCCACACTTCCAACAACGACTTATATTTCTGGTATTTTKAGACAGAATTTTTAGCTAATAAAATTTTGGCAATCTGATGAGTTTTCTCTTAATCTCGAGCCCGGAGTCTTTTCGACTTATTGTTCAGCGGTGTATTGATGCCGCAAAGACTATTAGGGGGTAATCCACTGGGGCTAATCCAGTGAATTTGGAACGATTTTCCTTTTTTTCGCCCGGTTTAGAGCATTAAATGATCAAAAAGAAAAAGATTTAGGAAACAATCTTGTTTAGGAATGCTAATTACACGCCATTTTGGCAAAACAAATGAAATTGTGAAAGTATGTGTGGTAATGAAATTATGATTTGTGATTCGGCTCCCACGTCTTTATAAGCGCTACTGTSAAAAGTCTAACTATTTGACTAGATTCATCTAGCAGTCGTTGATTTAGTTTCTTTATGATAAAAACTCGGAGCACTGATGGTATTACGCAAGTTCCCTGTGGCCCCGTCTTGAAAATGTCGAAACGTGCATAACCGTTTCTAGAAGCGAGACGACCAGTGAGATTGCATTAGTAAATAGAAACCATTGAATGGTCAAAATGATTGCGGAAGAAAATTTCTATCATTGGAAGCTATCTTACGAGCTGTCTCGCTTTGTTGCAAAGACACAGTTTTCAAGTTCAAGATGGCGCAGGGAAGGCATGGACGAGACTTGGCTAGACTTGTTAGTAGASGTACTAACGATGCCTACAAAATGCCTATAAAAAGTACGCAAAGTATGTACACCGATTTAGAAGCATTGTCCTCAGTCTACATTTATATAAGAGAAGATCAGTGACGACCACCTTATGGGTTCCCTGTTTGAACAAATCTGCTGTAGCCTGGTACGTTATTCGTCATGCGCATGCCCATTAGACATCAAGCTGCKATGTTGAAACAAAATGGAAGGAAACAGAGACGAAGCCTTGAAATGCCGGCGTTTGGCCGAGAAATTTCTCAGTGATGGCGACGTAGAGAAAGCAATAAAGTTCCTTAAAAAGGCTGAAAGGCTTTACCCCACAAAAGATGTCAAAGGTTTGTAAATTAATGCTGAATCTCGTACCAGACTTTGGTGTTTAGTCGTCGATAAAAATGGCGATGACTTGCATTTTAATTTTGTAGTGTAAGTGACAACGACAATTTGATTGACGAACGAGTCTAACGTTGACGTATTGAAGCATATTCGGCACATAATATGTTCTCCGTAGATTGGTATTATATTTTATTGTGATGGTCACTGAAATGCAAAGATAGGAAACAGAATGGTTTTGTTGTTACCGAGGGTAGTGTTGATATAAACATCATTACAAGAGATTTCGTCAGAAAACACTTCCTATAACTACTTTCGTAGTTGTTCGTCGCTTACAGAGAAAACATTTGTGGTCATGTCTTATAAGTCTATAGTTTGTAAGTATATATTTTTTACAATGGTTGGTCTCAAAGTCCATCCACAGACGTCTTTCACACTCCGATTCTCACGTGCCGAACGAGTATTTCATGAGATGTGRCACTAAACTCGAGAGTATATGTTATAAACCTGGCTCATAACTGATGACATGTGGAGTAATACAAAAAGTTTATAAGTTCTATGTCATTGTTTCATGTATGTAACTTGTGTGAAAATAATATTTTAATAAAATGAAATTTTAATGATAACACCGAATTTATAACATAAAGTGATTTGTGTAAAAGTTTAAACTTATCCTATGTTATTATGTTGAATGCAACATGTTATTAAGCTCTAAATGTGAACAACATTGCTGTTTTTAAAAAGCATTTCGTGCGACAGATGGGGCTCAAAATAACATCTGACCAAAACTTTTTGTCCTGTCAAAATTTTATTAATAATAATTATTAATTATTAATTTTCAGACCTTCTAAACTCACTTCTAAAGAATGGCATGTCAAGCGGGTTTACAAAGACTGATAATGCAGATGGTGTAAGACACAGAACAAGAACTAACAGTGGTAGTGCTGCAAGTAATGGCTCTGCACCACAGGAGAAAAATTACACACAAGAACAAGTAGATGCAGTCAAAAAGTAAGGGAAAAAAAAAAACTTCAGGGAAACACTTTGCATGGGTCGCCTGTTCACGCATTCCCTCTCAGACATTTGATTATTATTTGAATCCATTAGAGTGCTTACACTAAATGCGTGAAATATAAATACTATACAAAATAGGTGATAAATTATACAAGACTTTTGAGTCTAAAGGGTGGACGCCAGCTATAAAATATTTGCAATAAAAAATATTTAAACCAGTTTTCTAGAAAAATAAACTGCTTGTTATGGTTGGGAGAACACACAAAAAGGTAAATCACTCGCCCGATGGCTCATGATTTATAGATATTTTCTTGTGTTCTCCCAACCAGCCCGCACAGTTGATTTTCCCGTAAACCTCTTCAAGTTATCATTTGTTGCTTGCGTGAATCATAAGGTAGTACAAGTAGAGTGCTCGCACTAAATGCGTGAAATATAAATACTACAAAATAGGTGATAAATTATACAAATTCCTTTGTTTCCTATTGTATAATCAACACTATTTAGTAGTAATTAGTACTATTTGTTTCACGCTTTAAGTGCGAGCACTCTATTACAACCTTAATTTGGCAAAAGTAGTCAACCCAAGGATCAAAATACTCAACAGATTTTGCTGATTACAATAATAAAAACCTTGTACATGTATGTCGATCGAAGCTTTTTTTATAGTAGTCAGGAAAAGTTTGTAAGTTTGTTATTTGAAAAAAATTACTGTAACCAACTTTAAAATGCACTTGTCAATGTGCTCTGAAAATATTTAATATTTCTCATTAAAAAGGATAAAAAACTGCAAAGACTATTATGAGATACTTGGTGTAAACAGAGAAGCATCTGAAGCAGACATCAAAAAGCAGTACAGAAAACTTGCCCTACAGTTTCATCCAGACAAAAACAGAGCACCCGGAGCAACAGAGGCATTCAAAGGTAATCATGGAACTGTAGATATTTTAAAGAGGCTTCCATTTTGTACATGGTTATGATGATAATAATATATTTTATTGATGTGCAAACACTAAACAAGAAAATCTTTTGAAATAATGGACAAAGACATTGCAACCATATTGGATGAATGAACAAKAAAAGTTAGAATATGTTTGAATTATACTTTGTTATTTTCAACCAATATGGTGGCTCTGTAATGAGTGCAGTGCTGAAAGTAGGAAACTTAAATTAACTGTGACGTGCCGACATCAATGTGTTGTGTTTTTCYTCTCTAGCTATAGGAAATGCCTTTGCAGTGCTCACCGATTCAGAGAAAAAAGAGCGTTATGACAAATATGGTGACGAAAATCCACAAAGAATATATCGCAATGATCATTTTGACTATTCTAGAGGATTTGAAGGTACAGTACGTAGTACACACAGATTTGTTGGGCTTCCTGTCCCTCCTAAAAAAAAACTTTAGTAAGATTTAAGGAAACAATAGACTTCTGAGCCTTTGTACGTCAATACTCCTACTTGATTTTCAATGCATGGTGGGATCAGTTTCTAGAGAAAACAAAAGAAATCTGACATGTTCAGATGTCCAAAACATATCTTACAATGCATTGGATATAGTATGGTTCGTCATGGCCTAAAATCTTCAGAAGCCTATTTCTTTCAAATTGAGGTACTAAGGAAGTCCAAAGAAGGAAGAACTGCACAGGAAACCCAACAAAGGAAGAGCTACAAAAACTCCATTGAATCTTTTAAGATTTTAATAATAATTAATAATTAATGATACTTGATAATTTTAATAATAGTATTTTTCATCTTCAGCTGACATTACTCCAGAGGAGATTTTTAACATGTTTTTTGGTGGCCCAATGCCTGGTGGTCGTGTTTATGTAAATAGACGAAGAAATAGAACGTATCAYCATCATCACGAGCATGATGACGGACAAGAAATTAATGTAAGSTTCTTTCTAGTGTGGGGTRGGGGGATTTTGRTGGAAGACACTTCTATTCCAAATGTTAAAGGGACACTGTCAATRGATGACATGCGCGAGTAAACTTGAAAACACTAGGCTAGTGTTTTCAAGTTTATGACTCMAAGTTGGCGCGACATAAATCAGATCATAAACGTAAACAGATCTAGAATAGTCCAAAGTGTGTCAAAAGCACCACAAAATGATTTACCTCGAAGGTTATACTTTCAAAGCCCGTTARAGGTGAGACTGTTACTGCGCATGTCATCCATTGACAGTGTCCCTTTAAGCATCTGTCTGTAGCCTGTGTAAATCTGCCCCCCCCCCTCCCCCGCTACAAATTTTCTCTGTAGGGGATATGAACAGATGGTTGTGTTGAACAGATGAACAGGCAACCATCTTGCAATTCCCTAGCTTTTGAATTGTACACGTAGCTTTTAACACACTTTCTTTTTTTTTTCCTTTCCAGCAAACTCTATATTCATTGGTTCAGTTCTTACCTATACTTCTATTAGTGTTAATGTCTTTATTAAGTACTCTAATGTTACAGGATCCAGTCTACTCCTTACAAAGAACAGGGTAGGTTTATTATTAGTCAGTGTGGGRTGAGGGGGTCTGGGAAACAATTTTATAAAACTAATCCAATCAAGAAATAAATCGCACTATTAATAAATTTTGTCTAGATAGTAAATTTGATAAATTTTCTACCCTTTGTATAATCACAGGCAATAAAGCAATAAAGGGGAATTTTGCAGTGCCTGACACTATGATGACCCCCCTCCCCCCCTTTCCTGTAGTCCATATTAGGTCATCAAAGGACTGACATTGTGATGTCTGTTTTCTTGCAGGTCTTATTACATCACAAAAGTAACCCATAATTACAAAATTGATTACTATGTACAGGTAAGGAGGGTCCATGTGGGTTTCCTGTGGTACAGAATTAACGGAGAGGGTCTGGTAACAACTTCTTTATTTCTTCTGTAATATTAATTGCCGTTGTACATTATGACGTTACATAAAAAAATTCGACGCTAAAGATTATGGTCGCCAGTGGAGATCAGAGTGACTGCAAAGATTGTGATTTGATAAAATAACAAAGAGAGACAGGCAATACAAAAAAAAACCAAAAAACCGAAGATGTCCAGTAGATCACAATAGGCATTGTCTTACATAACAATTCTTTGTTTTTGTTGTCTCAATCAATCACAACTTGGTTCTGATGTTAGTGGCCGACCCTATAAAATCACATTTAAAGGGTTACTTGGAAACATTAGAAAAGACTTTGAAATCAAATAGACCTATCCATATGAGTCTAATAATCACGAAGCAACAGATTTTAAGAAGATATTGATACAAATCCTTAATAATTTGGGCAAAAAATGTTGGAGTAGATGACGTCAAAATTTCTCTGACGTAGGATAATCCCAAAACAAATTTTACCGCAATTGTTGTTGATAGATATAAATGAGTCATATATTTGTATTGCTTGAAGTTTTGAAATAATGTTTTCATGAAAGTAGCACTTTAAATTAGAAATCATTTATATATGATACATGTATAAATCAAAACACGATTCATTGAATTTCTATTTAATGGGACAATACAATAGAAATGGGTCCAAATTTCTACTGATTTTGAGCATCGTTTTTCAATGTAAACATACTGTGACGTCATAATGAAATAGGGCAATTAATAGCCATTGACAGTGGCTCTCAAATCCCCGTGAAACAGTTGAGTACTATGTCATAAAAGCAAAGTGATTTATTTATTGTTTATTTCTTTCTTTCCACTGTAGGAAGGTTTTGATGACAAATATTCAGGGAACGCACTTCGGAAATTAGAAAAACAAATAGAAAATGAGTACATTCATAGATTACAATCACAATGTTACAGAGAAAGACAGTACAGTAAGTACCGTTTGACTTTGTTTTCTTGTTGTTGTTGTTGTTGTTGATGTAGTTGTTGTTGTTGTTGTTGTTGTTATTGTCTATGTAGTTGTTGTTGTTGTTTTTTGCTTGTATTGTTTGATTCAATCTGTTTTACTGTTGTGAATTGTTTAAAACTTTGTATAGTCAGTCTTTCATTGAGCCCCTTATAACTCCCGGCGCAAGGACTATCGTGCACCGCGCTGGCGGCTAAATGGTCCATTTTTGAATTCAAAGCGATGACCGCTGTTTTATTTGACAGCAGATTCACTTACCATGGAAAAAACTCGAGAAAATTTCGTCATGACAATAGCCTTGAAAATTTGCATATATATGGTAATGTCTTTGAGTAAGAGAATCTGCTGTCAAGTAAAACAGCGGTTATTCGCTTTGGATTCAAGAATGGAGTTTTTAGAGGCTTAGAACCTGGTTTTCGAGTTTGTTTCCTAACTGTTTTATGAGTTCAATTCTAATATGTAGTGTACGCTTAGTTCGTCCGCCAGTCATTCTAAAATGTATATATCTTTATCCAAAACGAAGCCCGCCTTCCAAAACCGCCCCATTGTGTKGTTCRAACATAAACAAATACCGTGATTTGTGCCTTGGCTGATGCTCACAGCTTGGCGCTGTAGTGCGGTCAGACGGTAATGATGTTGTTTTGCCACTCGAGAATGTAAAAGATACAAAAACACATATGTGGCTGAAAAGAAATCCATAGGCATTTCATTCAACAAAATGTGTCGACGTCTTGTTTATTATTCTTTAATTTTTCTTCATAATTATAATGTACCGTAAGTACACATGTATGGATATCATTCAAAGTTAATTCAAAGTGARGTAAAAGTCGAAATTTCCAAGAAATAAACCAGCGTTCATGCTGCTAGAATATATAGCAGAAAGAATACTGACATCTGTCGATTTAGCATTTTATGTTATGTATTATTATTATAATGTTATGTCTGAATTATTTGTTTTAAGATTGACAACTTTACCAGAATTTCTACAAATTTCTAGTTGATGGCTTCTTGCACTGAATTTATATTTCTAAGAATTGCTCAAGTGAAAATGCTAGCTGTTTTGATATATAAGTACCAAATCTTCAGCTAACAATAACACGTRCAAATGTTTGCAGCTTGCAACATAACAAAATAATACATAACATAATGAAAGAAAAATTCATTTTGTAGTAAAGAAACACAAGTAAGCCAAAATTATATCAAAATCACTATAGAAAGTATGCAGTATTTTTTTATGATAACAAAGCTATCAATTTTTTTATCTTTTGAAATACAATATCTCAAATTCTTAGTCTATATAAAGCTGATAGCATAACCCAAAACAGTAAACCGCTTTGGTATTTTTAGAACAGCTGTCTATGTTTATACAAAATATCAAGTTTTACAATCTACACCTTTCTAAATGATGCCGATGTTTTAGCTTTCTCGCTGGAGTGTGGTAAGCGTGGGTAGCGATTGACCAATCAGAAGCTAAGTAGGGCTATTCCTTGCTGTTTGATCACAGCTGGGTTAGATAGTGTTTTTGACTTATTTTCCTGTAGATACTATGCAGCTATTTCAAAAAACCTTGATAGCTTGTCAATGGCAAATGACTGCTCTATCCTGCTCTATCGCATTATGAAGTCACGYTAGAACTTGTTTTAGATCAAAAACAATAAATAAATAAAAAAACAACAACAACAAAAACATATAAAAAATAAAAAGCATCAACCAGTCTAAGGCGTAGTGTCCGTATTATCATCCCAAACGCGTTTTTCAATTGTTCTAGTTTCATAAGCTATGGAATTTAACAACAAAAAGGGCGTTTATATGGACACTACCATAAGAACAATAGTTTATGATCATATAATGTTAATGATATTTAGTTGAATACAATTGCAGCCTCCGTTGCAGGCGTCGTAGGACCAGTACCTAAATAATCGCCCCAGTCATCCCAAAATGCGTTTTGCGTTAAGCAGCTCAAGCAACTTTCGTTTTACAGGAGACCTTCGTGGTCGTAATCAAGTGTCTGAAATTGCTAGTGTCCGCTGTAAAGCCGGATACATTTTTAGAAGTT